GTTCATCTTATCAAGCTACTAAATTAATCTTGCAATCTGAGTTAATGAAATGAATAGTTATTTACGTACTAATACTGTGCGGAATGAAACTGTCTACTTATATTGTGTAATACAAGCATCATTTTAAGTATACTTGCCACCACACAACTTCACACACTTTTGACATATATTGTTAAGTTTTTTTTAAAAAATATAAATAGTATGTAGTGTGGTGTACAAGTGATTTTTTTCATGAAAAATTTTTTTGATAGGATACTTAAATTTCATTTTATTTCTGATATATTTTCTCAAGACTGCTGAAGCTGCTTGTAAGAAGAACAGTCAATGTAAAAAGGATGAATGCTGTGTCACAATTTTAGTTCTAGGAGGGTGCAGAAAGTATGGGGAAGTGGGTAAGTATGGTAACCTCTATACAAATAACTAATCACACACAAAGACTTTTGAGTTTTTCCATCCATCTCTTAATTGATATGATATTTGTATCACTCAAACCATCCACGTAAAATACAGGACAAATCGTGATAAAACGAAAAATCTACATTTTTTTATGTTTGTGTACAATTGATGAATAAGGGCAAAAAAACCCTAGTGTAGTATGTGTTTTGATTTTAGACTGAAGAATAACCGAAACGCTGATTTCTCTTTGAACTTCATATTTAACAAACATTAGTATAACATTATCAGACCCAAACGTAATCGGTCGTCCTCCGACCAAGCTAGCTAGCTAAGAGGCAGAAAAGGTCAAGGACAGTTCTTTACCTGACGGAGAATATTTATACAGAGATCACAGGTTAGCTTTTGCCTGAAAATCCTAACTCGCCAAGCTGGCGGTAAGACTGGTGTGAGTGGCGAGAACTGCACATTCACCCCGCAATGTATCACTTATTGTACTTTTTTGGAGAAAGCATAGTTCTTCCAAATCTATTTTTGGCCTCCTGCATTACATGAGTACATGGTATTTCACACTCTACAGTCTTTGTTGTTCCAGAAGGTTGTAACAGTTCACTTTTAAGGAAGGTAGGTTTCATACGACACATAGAGATTGTTTACTTTCGACCTCTAATATCAGCACCAAAAGTTTTATCAGTTCTCTGAAGCACTTTAAAAGGTCAGTGGTAAGGAAAATGCAAAGGTTTCCTCACAACATCCCTTTTAATGAAGACGTGACTACATTCTTTTAAGGCTTGATGCACAAATACTGACATTTTGAGGTGGCTGAAAGCTGGAGAAGGTCTGATGGTAGAAAAATATTTCTTTAAATCCTCAACAAATTGGATTAGGGAGGAGTCCATTGGAGCAGAATCAAAAAATTCCCCTGGAAGATGAAGTATTGTCCCACAGAGGAGCTCTGTGGATGATGACTGTAGATCTTCCTTATAAACAGCTCGAAAGCTCAACAAGATAGCTGGTAAGGCGTCTGACCAATGGTCAGTAGTGTAGGCCTTGAGTGCAGCTTTTATGGGTCGGTGCCATTGTTCTAATATCCATTGCTTTGAGGATGGTAGGGTGAGGATCGAACTCTTTGGATGCCCAGGAGATGTGCTGCAGCTTTGAAAAGTCTACGTTCGAACTGATGAACCTGGTCTTTAGTTATCACTCAAGGCAATTCAAATCAAGCTATCCAGGTTTTAAAGAAAGCACAGTTTCCACAAATGTAGTATATCTGCTGATCATTGTCAAGCAGTATGAATATCCTCTAGATGGTGGTAATGGGCTAACGATATCAAGATGAATAGGGTAAAAGCGTTTCGACTTAATTGGGAAATTGAAAATAAGAGATTTAGTATGCATAATTATTTTTCATTTTGACATGGAATTCAGTGTCTAGACCACATATTGCAATCTATTTAAAGTAGAACAAATAAATCTACTATGAATTAATTTATAAGTTGCTTTTATACCTGGGTGTGATAAGTTATGAATAGTATCAAATATATGTTGACGAAATTGTTTTGGAATAAAAGGTCTAACATTTTTAGTAGAACTGTTACAATATAAAATAAAGTTCGTATCTGGAATATTTACTTTTTTAAAAAATAAATTTTGATGATTCTTGATTAAACTATTTAATGTTTTGTCACTTCCGTGAACTTTTGGCTGTTTCGCTGTAAACTATTGGATTTGGAATGTTTATAGATGACATTCTTGATTACGCACCTGCAGTTATAGTGTCAGAACCATTTAGGTGTCGTATATCTGTTTTAAACTGTGATATAAAATCTAATTGATGAGCTTGCTGAGGTAAGACTTATCTATCTTCTGCTTAAATGCGTTGGTGATCGAATTCTGATCTGTAAACAAAACATTTCAAACTTAGAGCATGTACCTTAATTGTTTGATTTTGCGACAAGCAACTCTCAATCATAAATGCTACAGCGTTTTACAGTTTCGGATAACTTGTTCGAAAAAAATGCTAACGGTTGAAGGTTTTCGTTTTCTGTTTGAAAAACATCTCCATCAATAGCAAAATCTGAGGCATCTAAATTTTCAACTTACATTACTAAATTAGCATCAAGCTCATTTGCATTTGAATTGCGTAAGCAGCGTAGTGCTCGCTAAATGTGGATCGCATTTTCGCTTGCTTTCTGTTTTGAAATCTGCTTATGACCTGTTCTGATCAGTTAAAAATAAGATTATCATTACGCTTAGAATCTTTCAAAAAATCGTTTAAATGAGTTAGGTTATGAGATGCTCGATGTAGAAAACGACGAAAAAAATTTAAAAGTCCGAGAAATCTTCTCAATTCCTTGATTGTTCTTAGTTGATTCTAATTTAAAATAGGGTGTACTTTATCGGGTAATGGTTTGGTGCCATCGTTTGGCTGCAAGTGAATTTTGGTCGTTTCGTGTTGCAGCAAGAAAATTATATAGGAAACATTGAGAAGCGTACAACAAATGCTACATGTAAGTTTGAGGTGTTTAGTATATCAGCAAACTTTTAGAATTTGCTTTATAACTTTCTTAGCTTTCTTTTTGATAGGCGTGTAAAAACGTTTTTGATTAAAAGTTATGAAATAAAAAACTTTAGCAAATGGTAATGACAGCATAATTATTCTCTTAATAATTGAATTTTAATCATAAGTGATAAGCTAAGAATCTGAAAAACACTAGAGATGTTTCACTTGCCTCTACTCTATACAAAGCGTTATTTCTTGCGCTCAATATGCTATTTTTACTCTTATTTATGCCCTGAACTGAAGGCGCATCAAAAATTAGTAAGATTAATTAAAGATTAATTACAGAGGAAGTATTATTTCCACAGCATCTAAATAGGTGGTAAACTTTCAAATTTTTAAATAGACTCTACAATCTGATCGCTTCGCTAAACAACCTACAGGATTACTCATCATTGTTCTTGTTTACTCTCAAAAGTCTATTATTTCTGCAAAAAAGAACACTTTAACAAATATTGAAGTTTTACAAGTTTTACACAAGAGCATTTAACTAATATATTAATCGAAACGAAATTAACGATCAACTGTATTTGTCAAATAAACATTTGTTTTTGAACTCAAGGAATACAAGCTACGTTATCCATTACGAAGAAATAAATGAGAATTAATTACAAACTATTCCAATATGTAACGGGTTTATTCAGACGCACTACCTCAATAACGTAGTACAAAAATTCCATCTGCAAGTCCTGCTGAGCCTCTAATTTAGGTATGGTTCCATAACAACAGTACTATATGTTCCCGAAGTTTTAATTCAGTTTTGTCGTTTTTTAGCTTGCAAAAATAAAGATGAATATTAAAAAAATATTTTTTGGGATTTTATCTGAGTTGAAAGCAAAGCTATTTGGCTTGCTCATTATAAAATAAATTTTAGGTACAATTTACTTGGAAATAACTACTTTTCAACACTTCTTACTTTTTCATGATTATAACAATTATTACTGTTTATAATCAACATGAAGATTGTTTCTTTGAGACTTAATAAAGAAATTATAATTGAATAAGAGCTCAAAAAAGCTAATAATAATATAATTAAGTAAGTGTATTTATAGAGTATAATTAATGTTACGAAAACTATTGTGTGTAAAGATTTTTGTAGCACGGTGAACCTTGATCTCGGTTCTACAATTTATCATCCCGAAGTTTAATTTGAAGCGATATCGAATTTCGAATATGTTCATTTCTCTCATAGTTGTAAGAATCACTCATTTTTGCCGGTTTAGATGTTTCTGTGATTACTTATTTTATTTTACAACGGGAAGAAGAAATTTTGATAGTATTTACGAAATAGTTTAATAAAAAGTTAAAAAAAAAAGGAGCTTCGAAGCTCACGCGTATCTTCAAAAACAACATAAGAGGACAAAAAACGATAAAAAGGACTTTTACGGAACTTCTAGTGTTAAGTTGTTAAAAATACTTGAATTAAATCATCTAATGTTAATTTTTATTCACTCCGTAGTATTTCGTGTACATTTCTCTACAACCGACTGCAAATTAAATTTTAAGTCTTATAGTTTTTTTAAAAAAAATCAGAGAGAAAGAAAAAAGTACCTAAAATTGAAATAATTTTCGAACATATTGGAGTTTTGAAAAATACTTGTGTACTTGGAGTTTTTAATATTGAAGGAAATTATTGCTGTTCAAAGCATAGTGAATATGTACATTGTCAAATTAAAATTTAGTAATGAGCGTTAAAAATTCTGCTAGTCATGGTGTGCGCGTGGGGGTGATCTACCTTCAAAGGAGATTGTGGCAAAGATATATATGGTGCTCTCTATATATAAACAGAACAATAATTTCAAATATTTGTTTTTAGGCAATATATTTAAATTTTTCAGGTGATATATGCGCACCCTATAAGAACTCTTCCTATTTTGATAACTGTCCATGCAGGAAAGGTCTTACTTGCGATCCTGATATTTTGGTAATTACTGATATATTTTTCAATTAATTTTTTAACATTTTGGTCACTTTTTTGAATACATCTTTTATCTCAAAATATGTGTCAATAATTTAATTTTAAAATCATAAAATATTATTTAAATATTATGCGCACCCTATAAGAGCTCTTCCTCTTTTGATAACTGTCCATGCAGGAAAGGTCTTACTTGCGATCCTGATATTTTGGTAATTGCTGATATATTTTTCAATTAATTTTTTAACATTTTGGTCACTTTTTTGAATACATCTTTTATTTCAAAATATGTGTCAATAATTTAATTTTAAAATCATAAAATATTTATATTTATTATTCTCGTTAAGACATAAGTTAATTAGGAGTTAGTTTTTTTCTCATTAAAATAAAAATATTACATTTTACTTGATAAAAGTAGAAATTGGCATCATATTTAAAGCAAAAAAATTAACAATCTATAATCTTTTAAAAATTTTTAGAAATTAAATAATAAAATATCACAAATTTCTTGTTACACTTCTACACTCTACTTCAATGAAATTTACAATCGACTGATGAATAAATGTCAGAATTAGATAAAAATATATATTAAAATATATACACGAAACTGATTTCTTGAAATCGTTAGTGAAAGTATTGATGGAGGGAGTCATGTTAATCATAAGAGCCATGATGAACCATGTAATTTAGATAACAGGTAAAATTTCTCTCATGCAAATCATTAAATATTTTAAATCACGTATTTCTTTAAAATGATATTTGTATGTTAGTCTTTTTTCCTGAGTCTTGTATATTACGCTTTTATAATTTTTAATTTATTAACTATAGCTATAAGGGATGTTATTTTGAATGAAAAAAACTTTTTACAGACCAACTAGAAATTTTTGCATTGAATACATCAATTAATATGTTTAAGTTTGATTAACTCATTTGATTGAACGAAATTAACTAGTTGCGACTTGACCTAGACGCTGCAGAATTTAATATAAGAGTGGACATTTTCCTTTATGTTATTTATTTGCAGCCTGAATATAACTTGCTAGGAAACTTAATAATAATATCCTTGTCTCCATAGATTTTTAATAGTTATTGGAAATAACAGCTACATAAATCGATTCTTGTTTCAAGATTATTGCTTGATTTTGTGGCATAGGTCGTTCAAAAATACTTTTTTTTCTTTCGTAATTTATTGTCGATTCCTCAAACCTCTGAAAGCTTAGGTCTTATATATATACTAGGAGGCTTCGTCCCATTCCCGCTTTGCTCTCTCATTGGAACGTTCTTAACGTCAAGATTTTGTATACTTTTTTGAACACTGAAGTTCCGAAAACTTTTCACTGTAGAAAATTCTAAACCTGTGCATTTCAATATTAATCTGAAATTGCAAACAGTTCACATATTTTTCTTAATCACACTATTCTAAATTTCAGTTGTTGAGAAAAGTAACTGTTGTAAGTTTTGTTTTAAAGTCTTCCCCACCAGAGGGCTAAAGCCATGTGTTGTAAAACAATATGAAATAGTACTGAATGCCGGATGTAAAGCATCGGCTTCGATGAAGATAATTTTGTGAGAATTTTTTTGATAATTCGGTGAGAATTCACCCGATTAGCCATATGATGCTCACTACGTGCTCTTGCGTGCCGAAGCCTATCAATTAAAAATAAAAACTGCTGCCAACGCGAGAAGAGAAATATCATCGGTTATACGTATTAGCGTTTTATATAATATAGATATATATGAATAGTGAACTGCCTCTGAATAGTAGAGAATTTTACAGATCCGAAACTAAAATAAAGAGTATTTGACTGATTCATAAATTCCTTACAAAAATTAATAACAATTTACCTCCTCAAAGAGTCCTTTGTAGCACTTGTTAGACCCACTTTTGTATACAATTGTATTATTATCTAAAGCAAATTTGGATCCATTAATATGTAATAATAAAATGATTTTTTTGTTCTCAGCAAATTTTAAATAGAATTTAAAGTTCTTTCAGTGTCTCGAAAAAAAATCTCATGTAGTAAATACATCGGAAATGACCAAATTCTTATTGCCTTCTGCAAACGCTTGTGCAAAAGCTGCAATTACGGTATGAAAATTGCGAGGGTATTTTACAAACTAAATAAAATTAATAATTAATATTATTAAGCTTTATTTAAGACACAAATAAATGACTGGAGGAGCATTTTCATTCTACTTTATTCAGAAGAGAATATTGAGGGCACTTTTTAGAGCTGATTATAAAGTCAAGATTTGGGCAATTTTGTAGAAAAGTCTTATAAAAAAGGTTATTATAAATTAGTTTATATAAAAAAACAATTTCTTTTTTTCCTCCAAATTTTAACACTGGTGCACTAACTCTTCATTATTATAATTGTAGAAATTATAATAAAGATAAACTTTTATAAAGATTATAAAATTATTATAATTGAAGTAAATGTTAAAAAAAAACAGCTGTGAAGGTGCAATTTTTAGCAAAAAACAATTAAATGCATAATAAATGGTATTCATTCCAGTTAAATAATAATTCAGTATATATTCATATTTATTTTCTTATCTAATTTTCTTTTTTAACATTTTAAACACTTAAGTTTTAAGCATTTTCATATATATATATATATATATGAAACGAATTTTTTACAATGAAATTCAATAATTAATTTTTATTTAATGAATTGATTAATATTAATTAATTCTTTAATTTCAATTTTTTTCTCAAGTAACAGTCCAAGATTGGTCCCCCTCCCCCTATAAATTTTATCTGCCGACGGTAGTGTGCGTTAGAAGTTTGTTTTATACACGTAGTTTCTTAACATTCACGCGTTTTTCTTGGGCAATCAATTGCAGTATAAATGACGTACGAGAAATTCGTATGATTGAATTAGGAGATGCGAATGAAAATCTGAGTGGTNTATATATATATATGAAAGAGAGAAAATGTTTAAAGTATGAATGTTTAATCGAAAGTTATTTTGTTTTAAGTTATTATCTGTTTAAAGTAATAAGCAAAAAAAGCTTTATAGAAATACATTCAGTAACAGTTAACTTTTTAAATTATATATTTTGTTAATTTCCCTTACAGCCACTTGTAAGTATTCTCTTTCCTTAAACTTCAAATTTTTTTGTAAGTTTTTAAGAATTGATTTAGTTTTCACTTTTTAAATTTTTTTTCAATTTTTAAATAAAAGAAAAATTAAACCTGTTGAAAAAGTATATAAAAAATTCTAAACTATCTGGCATTTTAAGCTTATTCTCCAGTAGTATGATTATTTGAATGTCTCATATAGAAATATTTAAAAACTGCGTAGTTAAATAATGTTTAAGGAAAGGTCTTTTTGTATTACTATATTATTTTGAAATTTTAGGTAAAACAGTACGTAAAAGATAAACACCATTAACAATAATGTATATGTTAAAAAAATAATTCCTTTCTGTACCAAGCCTTTTTAATTATAGCTTGCGCTATTTTAAATGTAAAAAAATTTATATTAACTTTAAATAAGTAATTCTTTATCCTCCGAATATTATCAACGATACCAGATCTATGTGAACATGTATTGTAATCCTTAAAAATTTTCTTAGGACCCAAAGTAGAATCTGAAAATACTTATATAGAACTCAGAAATGTACTCCATATAATTCAGAGAGTAAAGGTCGAATTCTGTGCATTACATATGATAGTAACCGTGGAAAATTAAGAATTTTGTTCCCATATAAGGAAGCCTTTCTGACAGCCGTGCAAATATCTGCAATCAACTATTCACTGGTCAAGAAGACAGCACTTTGTCCTACCGGGCCCTTGTTTCTTTTCATCTGAGAACATGACTTGAATCTTAATTTTGAATGAATCGGAATACACCGAAAAGTATCTATACCATTTATAAATACATGTCGTAATCATTTCGGCATAATCGTGTCGTAATCATGTGTGGCATAAAGGCATATCTTCTGCTTGTTGATTCTGAAATCTAGAAAAACTGCCCCATCTAAAATATAAATATTTATTTTAAAAAGCAACTCAAAAAGATTTCGTTGCCTTTGTTTGACAAACATGCTTGTGCTTGTTTCTTGGATGAAATTCAGTCCCATTTAATGGATTACTTTTTGATACAGTCTCCAATTAAAATTCTGGATAATTTGTTGTTGTTGTTCATTATCCTCCAATTGTTTGACGAAATCAGACAAGATCCAATAGGTTGTTGACCCTCAAAAAGTCGATGACAAGAAGTGGAGTAGCTTACTCGTATAAGTCTTCCTTGGAAAGGCCCAAGCAGTCTAGGATATGTTCGTCAGAGGCCTGCTGGCCTTCACATTTGGAACAGACTGCATAAGTCTTTCTTCCTTCAAAGTAGGAGAGACTATTCGTGTGTCCACTTGCCAATCTGGAAATTGCTGTTTAAGGCGCTCTATCACTTATATGAACAAGTGAAGAGATCGGTTCCTTGGCCTCATACCAGTGGTGAGAGGGAGAGGGATCCTCTACTCTTTTGATAGATGGCTTTTGATTTTGAACTGAGTCTCTGAGTAGGAAAGGGCTGAGGACGAAGGTGTTGAATGACTACAGCCCTCCTTGGCCAAGCGATCCGCTTGCTCATTGTCAAAGATGTCAATGTGGGAAGGTATCCACAGAAGATGAACGTCGTGGTGCTTTGAAATAAGTTGAAGTTTAAGAAGGGTGGAGATGCTTGTTTTGTCTCCAACTTTAGTCCAATTGGATAGGCGTTGAAGTGAGCTGCGACTGTCTGACAGGATCCAAAGATCTCCAAAGTCTCTCTCGTTGATTATAGCATCGATGCCCTGTTCAATTTCGATTAATTCACTTTTAAAGAATGAAGTGAAATCAGCATTACGGAGACAGATGGAGTAATTTTGCCCAGATTTTTCAATGAAGACACCGCTACCCGTTAGGTATCCCAGTCTACTACCGTCTGTGTAAATTTTTATGGCGTCACTGGGAATCTCGCCTTAAATTTCCAAAGCTAGCTGCCTAAGCTCTGCTGGAATATGATCCTTCTTTGTGACCGGAGCAGAAAGGCCGAAGGGGTAATGAACTCTGGGGATTCCCTCTGAAGGATTCAGACAAGATTTTAAGGAGTGGGGCTCAACGTCTTCATAAGGCAAATGCAGAAGTTCAGCATGACTGAATGGACTGTTTTTGGATAATTTGTTGTACTCATTTGTAAAATCACTTTATTAATTGTTATTCTATTCAACAGCAACTTTACAAAATGGTTCACAAAGGATTTCTCTGTGGAATAGAACATGCATCTTGGGCAAAATTTTTCAAAAATTTGTAAATCCAACAAAATAATTTATGATATTTTGCTACTATAGTAAAAAAATCCTATTTCCCAAATTTGAGTTAAAATAGGTTCTTACTTTTTGTATCAGCGAGTTATTAGTTGCTTAATGTTCAAGGTGAGAGGTGACATCTTTTAGCTGATTCCGCAACAGAAGTTTTTTTTTACAATGATTTTTTAAGATTTTGATATTTTTGGTTTTCCTGTAAACACTTCTTCTGATATCGTAGATTTGATTTTGTATTTATTGGAAAGAAAATTTTTAATACCTCAAAACTTTCTTTGCCATCTAATACTAGCCATTTATCCTTGCAAATAAATATTTATTTAGACTTATCCAATATAGGACATCTGAGCCACTATTATTATCGAGAATAAAATAAAATCTGTCTGTCATTGCGTAGACTCGAATAGATAACAAGTATATTTGTTAACGTGTTAGTGCTAAGCTGTTGCCAGTAGCTCATTGACTGACGCATGACATTACTTTTATACTCTGTTTTTGAATCACATTTGCGATAAAATTATACATTTAAATATTACATTTAACTAAAAGGGAAATTATAAATTAGTTATAGCATCAAAATTAAGTATATTTCATTTATAATATTTAACAATTTCAATTATATGCGCGTCGCCTATTGAGAGAATAATTATACTTTCTTTCCATTTTAATGTGCAGTAATAGAATTTTTTTCAATCATCGTTTCATTTAACTTTTGGAAAATTTTTAATTTCTGAAACACTCAGTTCTATTATCACTAGTTCACTAAAAACAACTTAATTCCAAAAGTTGGTAAGCGAACTTGAATAGGTTTACCCCAGTCCCTGGCCTATATCCAGACCTGAATCAAATTGAATATGAAGTATTTTCTAGAGAGATTAGCAGCTGTTTTTCCAGAAACTTTGGAGTACTATAAATTGTCTCTATGACTTAGCAATATTTAGTGTCAAAAGTCCAAAATATTTTTCTTTTAAGACATTTACCAATTCTTTAAATATCTAAGGGTTCTTTAAGAAAATAGCACTCCCGTCAGGGGCGCCTTGTTGATATAAAGCCCTATACAAGAGTCAATTTGATTAATTATTCTTGGACTATTTTATTGTGATGTTAAGTATTTCAGGATTTTACAACTTGAATTTGACTATCGCTTTTTGTCATAGTTTGATAAATTTTCACATAAAAGTACTCTGGATTTCTCCTGATTTTACATGAGTTGCCCATAGAAGTGTGTTTTTTAAAACTTTTGTTATTATTTGCTACATATTAATATTTGATGTTTCAAAAGAGCTAATCTGAAGGAAAAGTTGCGAGGATATGATGCAACCACAGATATTAAATTAATCACATTGCGTTTCTTTTATTAGAAATGGAACTCAAATTGATTTTCTGAATTTTCTTTTGACTGAAATAATGAAATACACATTTCTTAACTAATCGCTTACTTTCTGAAAAATGATATTAATTTTTTAAATAAGTTTTTAGGTATATGGAGAGAAAGGAATTTATTACGTACTTAAAATAGGAAAGAGTAAAGAAATGTTGAAAATTTTTTATTGTATTTCTTAATTTGTAAAAATAAATTATAAAACTCTCTTCCACACTAATATGCATAAGTAATAAGAGAAGCATAATTTACACTAGAGGCTTTAAATTTATCCATTCCTGTGAGATAGACCCAGTAAAATAAAAATTTACTATTTGCTCAAAAATTTACTCAAATCACATTTCTGCTCTTAACGAAACCATAAATTCTATTCAATTGATATCGTTTATCACACTTAAATAATTTCACCAAAATTAAACCTTTAATATTAGAATAAATCTTATTTCTTGAAGTTATAGGTTCTATAATACACCAACGTTCAAAGTTTTAGGAACAACGCATTTTTTAGACAACTGATAAAAATAGACAACGAAATCCAGTAAATTTTTTTTATGAAAGCACGAAGTATGATGAAAACGATGTACAAACTCAATAACAATATTTAATGGCAGTAACAACAAATTGAAAATATTTAGACAGTAAACTGACTTTTTCAGAGAGGTCAGTTCACTGTAAAAAATTCCTGATCGGATTCGGGTAAAAAGTTCCGTCACTGAGTTGTGTAATTTACTTTACCGTGAAGTATTAAGAAGCAAAAAACCTAATATACCGTAATTTTTACTTAATCACCGTAATTAAATTAGCATTAATGTTTAAATAACGATAAAAATTTTACGGTAAAGAAAATGTTTGAGTTAACATGGATTTTTTGGACACTACACACATGTTGACAGCACGTTTTTTTTACTTAATTTTATCCTGATATTTCTTACAGTGTTGCAATTGTATGCTAACATTGATGGTGGTGCTGCAATAACAACACACCGTCACGCAATTTAAATTGACAAAATTTTGACAAAAATTGACAAAAATTTTAAGAAAATTAATCTCACTTCTCCATTATGGCATTTATTAGTGCAAATGGGGTTTATGGAAGAGATCACGAGTTGCAAATTGCTGTGAAGAAACAATTCCGTGAAGAAAACAATCCTGTGAAGAAAAACTGATATATGAAAATCTTGAGTGGGAAACTGGTAGATCTCTTCATCTTCATAATATCTACACACGACAAGATAAGATCTGTATAAACACAATTTGTCACCTTTAAAAATAAAATCGGATTCGACAATGCGTCTGAACATTCTGACCTAAAGCTCGAAGATTTAAACCCTATACGTCGAACTATTTCCTGAGAGATGTACAGGTCTGTCTCCAATAAATGACGCTGAGGCAAACCACGAAACCTCGACGCATACAGCACTTCACTGCAAGATATTGGAGGAAACATATAGCTTGTCTAAGCTAAGAACTAATTCCCCCACAAAGTTTGAGGCCGTCTGGTGCTATGGAAACAAGAATGGCTCATTTTGGGGAGGGAAGCTTCACTCTAGGACTAACACAATAGAATGCAGAAAGGTATTCCCTTTCTTTCGCCGACCTGAGCCGAAACCACTTCAAAACAGTGACCCCTCACCCTTACTTGCAGTAGTCATACCTCGTTACCATAGTCACCGCCATAGGTCCAGACGAATGTCTAGGGGAGTTCTTATTTTAGATACCCTATACCTGTTCCTTTGCTCTCCCAACATTTGAAAACGTCGAGAATCACAGTTTTTACTGAATTGTGATACTTTATTTATGGGAATTTAAGCTCACTGCGTTTTTGATTAATGAAGATGTTATCTACACCAGTTCAACTGGACTATACTGTGATCTGGAGTGTTAGAAAGGAAAGTTGTCATAGGCCTTTGTATTTTTACGATTATGATTTGTTCCCAGAACGTTTCTACTGATGACTTGCTGTTCAAGAAGTATTTTTTAGCGGAGATATTTAGAGTAAGGCGGGGCTAGGAGTATATTATGGTATAGTGCAGTAATTTTACTACTTACTCCCCGATCTAAGACCAGAAGGAGCCAGTCTCAATGCAATAGTGATATTTATTGTCCCTATATCTTAAATTTATTGTTCAAAAAAAAAGAAAACGTCATTCTCGATAATAACGAAAGAGTTTGTTCTGAGTACTTCACTGTCATCCAGGTGTCCAACTTCTTTTTTAATTCCCTAAGACACCTATTTTGTCACATTTTGATGCTTTTCGAATGCAGTTTCCCTTAATTTGGGATATAATTTTTTGAGTTGTCTTGATTTCTTGAGTCACGGTTATACGTGTTAAAGAAAATTTTTTTTGAAATCTTTAATGTCAATGTTTTTTTCTTTTAAATTAACAGTTTGTTATATTAAAACTAAATATTTTTCAGGGTAAGGTCTCCGTCAAATCAAAGGTAAGGAACGCAAATACTTTTTGCTTGTATTAAAATTGGTTGTTGTAAACATTGAAGTAATGCACAAAAAATGACACTTATTAGATATTTTTCAACAATACTACTAATAAGTTATATTTTTTTAAAAATATCATGTTAAAAATTTGAAAATGTACATACTTATGACTTTAATAGTCAGTAAAGTAAGGGAGTAGATAATTCAATCGTAATGGACCATTGTTATAAGTTTCACTAATTAAATATCACATCCAGTATATTTGAATTTTATCTCATGTGATTTCCTGAAAATAAACAATTAATTTTAAATATTTAAATTTAAAAAAAAACTTATCAATATTTTTGCAAAATATAGTAAAATTTCTTGTAATTTTGATTTTTTGTAGTTTTTCTTTGTAAAAAAAAAGAAAAGAAAAACTAAAAGTAACCTTATCGAGAGTAAACTGAATGTACTTTATTTGTCTGGTTCTAAATAGCACAATTATTGTCCTCTTTCAGAGTCGTGGAACTTGTAAAGAGCCAGGAAGAAAGTAACATCTGAGTCAGTAAACAGAAAAAAGTAGCTCTAAAGCACTTCAAAAAAGACAGATTCTATAAAGAAAAATCAATAGAAAATCAGATTTTTTTTAATAACAAGTTCGACTCAAGATTTTTGTTATCATCCCAAAAAATTCGAGTTTCTAAAATTTTGAATTTCCATAGATTTAATTATATTGATTTCATCTAAATTATGCTGCATAATTTATTGCGCTTAAAGGCGCATAAAAGTAATACATTTGCCGTAAAGTATTATTGAGTAGAATAATTTTATAATACATTAATTTTAAATAAATGTTTTTCACGAATTCTTTTTTTTTAAATATTGTACCTGAATATTTTTAAAATACAGTAGCTAAATTATCTAACTTAAATTGTTAACTACTTGTGATAATGTTCTGCTGCTTAATTTGAAATTAAAATGGATCCTTACAATTAGCAAAAAAATTAGACGGTCATTTGAGTAGAATTTTTTGAAAAGCATGAAATTAATACAGGAAAATAATTAATTTTGATATTGATTCCAGTGAAATTATTCCAAAAAAGACCATAATTTTTATCAAATAAATGTTATACATAATATCAATTTTGAATTTGATTTCTTTCATTTTTGATTATTAAGAAAATGATTTTCTATTGACATCTCTGTTAGAACTGAAAAATGATGCACACGAGGTTATGGGGAATACCACATGTTTAATTTGATGCATAATAAATTATTAAATAATGTATTATAAATGTGTTTTCTTGGTTTCATGTGTGTTTTCTTTTATAATTAACATGGAATGAAAATTATGAGATAAGTTAGATTAGGAATCTTTCTTTTTTCGCATAAGGCTGATAGTAACAAGACAATCAAATACTGTAACAACGGAAAAAAAAGATCCATAAATTTCAAGTGCAATTACATATAATCACTAAAAGTAATTATCCGTTATTTTTAAATTCAGTTTGCTAGAAAAATAATTGTGTGCTATTGACAACGATGAGGAAAATTTAGACATGCCATCCCAATCTAATTTATTGCTACTTACAAAATGTGGTGACAAGTTTCAAGGACTGACATAACAATCCTTATAACATGAAACTTTCATATTCTTTTTATAACTTATAGCAAATGTCACTTGTTGCATTTAGCTTCTGTGCTCATCTATAAAATTTTTGGAATTAATTTATGAAATAGAGTAGGACGGAAAAACCGAATTTTTTATGCCTTAAGTAAAATAGATATATAAATTATTTAAAATGTTTTAAAATCGGTTGGCTTGTTTATCGCTCTCAGAATATATAAAAACATATCTGAATTTTTAAGACCTCTTAAAAATGTTCAACCATTATTCGATGGCTTCTTATTCCTATTTTTTGATTAAATAAAATTAAATCAATTATAATGTCATAATTATTTCATATTATAGACTGATCGAACAATGTATTTGATAAATGCTAATTATCCCACTTTTTTTTAAAATTTTTTTCTGATAGAACAAAATTTAAATGGAAAGGTTTTTGCAAGTTTTACGCCAAATTTTGAGCCAGCTGCAACATAATGAATCGAAGAATGTATTTATCAGGCAGGCGTTTAAATGTCAACACTCCTGAGAAATTTGTCATCAGAGCGAACAACATAAATACAGTTTTTTTTCTGTTGATGCCATTTTGAAGGGGGAATTTAAATTTCTGCTGAAAAAAAAAGTGCGGGATGTTAAAAAGAACTGTAGGGGAATAGAAAAAGATTTTAGAAAAGTTCATTTTTTTCTACACTTTCTTCTTTCAGAATAGTTCAACTTTGTTATTATACTCATTATTAGGAAAAAAGATTTATCAAAGGGGCAAAAAATCGTTCAAGCAGAACGTATTTAAAATATGATCTTTTTAATATTTGATCATGATATCTGATCGCACATTTCCTGAACTTAGGAAACACTTTAGTGTTCCAGTGGAGCTAATATAAGAAAATTAGAAGTTATAAAATCCATAATACCTCGTACATTACCAATAGTACAAGAAATGTATCCAGAAAACTATAGTTTATTTAGTCACGACAAAGTTTATTCTAAATACCAAGATATCACATTTTAATCCAGTGTCTTGACTCTTTCCTTATGCATTGTCTTGTATTGAATTTTTATTTCTAGAGCCAGGTTTCTGAATGCTTTTTTTATCATTCTCACCCATAATTAACAAAATACTTCAAAATGAACAAAACATATATTTTCTTTCATTCAAAGTTAAAAGTTAATCGCAAAACAAAGCAATGTTTGAATTCTTTGAAAATTGCACTTATTGCTGAAATTAAATTATAAACTTTTTTTTGCATATTACACAGATATGAAATATTTCAAGATTAATGTAACTATATGTTTTACTTTTTTTTACCAATTTTCAGAAAGATTGAACTAACTTTATATATGAACGACTTGAAATCTCTCTATTCTATTAGACACAAATAGTCATCTAGAATGCAGCACCGTCTATGAACGACTAAAAATTTCTCTATTCAATTTGTCGCAAATAGTCACTTAGAATGCAACACTATCTATGAACGACTTCAAATTTCTCTAATCTATTTGCCTCAAATGGTCACTAAGAATGCAGCACTATCTATGAACGACTAAAAATTTCTCTATTCTATTTATCACAAATAGTCACTTAGAATGCAACACATAAGTCCAAGTATATGCTTTCAAATATTTATTTTACATTCGATTCCTGGTTGCTCGTCTTTGTGGAATCTGGATTCTATAGATCTTTAAGGGAACGGGAAAACACAAAATGGTTTCTCCAGGGAGTTGCCGATATTATATCTAAGTTAGAATTGAATTTTGAGACTGGATTCTTCTCTGAAAGGCTCTTGACAAAGCATTTTCTATCCACACTCGATCTGACCATGCATGTCTCAAAGTTGGCGACTAGTAATGCAGTTTTAAGTTATGAGTAATGAGTAATGAGTTATCTCTCTCGAAACAATGGAATATTTTTCCCTGGGGAGGAATGGTTAAGAATTTATACCGACGATCCCATAGTTACGGCCAAAAGCAGACTTCTACCTGACACCTTTAAGAAGCCACTTATCACTGATTTCAACTGCCCTAGAACCTTGACATCGGTAATAGCAAGTCTTAGAACCAACCATTTCATAGGGATGAAAATTCTCCTGGACTAGACCAGGACATACGTCCCCTACAGAAACTGCCCGGATGTCATGTTGGCACTAAAACACATTTTCGAGTGCCCCGTACTTACCACACATGTTTTGAAATTGGGTTGGGCACCAATTGAGGGCAATCTAAGACCTGTTCCCTACAGTCAAGAGGCGCCGTAGCTGGCGGCTGCAATAGTCCAGACCTTTGATGTTATCTGAAGATCCATGGACACGAAAACAGCACAACATTCCAGTGTGAGCGTTTGTGACTTAGATGAATACATGGATGCCTTTTTTTTACTTTTACATTTAATTGAAAATACCCAATCATATGCATCAGGTTGTATTTTTGCAAATAGTTTAAAGGGAAAGCGCATTTACAAGTTGTGATTTCAGCTCTTAATTTTACCGTTTCCAGTCGAGGCTTTTTCTACAATAAAAATAGAACGCAACATCTAAGAGTTTACAAGATAAAATTCTCACTTTTTCCGGTCACCATATAACACATAGAGGCCAAAAATGAATTGGTCACTAAACTTTAAAATATAAAAATTTTAACATTCATAGCAGTAAGTGATTTGTTGTTGAAAACTGTCTTGTTCTCGGCTTCATTCACTTTACTGTACTGTGATTTGTTATATTGTGACAGTATTTCTGTATTTTTGATTTTTACCTTGCTTTATTATTAATTTTTGACCCCATCCATATCAGCATATTTTTTGCCTTCAAATTTTACAAATATTAAAAAAATAGTGCCTAAGGGTGGCATTTACAAAACACTCTGAATGACCTAAAAATAAGAATTTTCTTTCCGAGCATCAGTAAATATCAGAGCATTATCAGTCAGTCTACAATTTTAAAACTAATTTAAAACACAGAAGCATTTTGTCCATTAAAGAAGTTTGTTTAAAGGGCATTAAATATTTACTATAAAACATCAATATATTCACTTGATAGAATTAAATGATGTGTTTGAAAAAAAAATCCACTTTTTCTGAAAAGGACAAAAAGAGATTAGTAACACATAGATACCAGCCATTAATCATAAGACCCACAGTGAGGAGGAAAAGATTACACAGAATGAAAAAGAGAGGAAAGAATAAGACAAAGATGACTACTTGCCACAGAGTAAGGTTTTTACTGCAAATACCAATAAATCACCAACAAGACACTTTTTCGATTTTCCGGAAAATTGATGACTTTGAATCTTTAATGATACTATTTCACTCTACAATGTTGCTTAAGGCGACATTATAAATACTTCAGTTTAAGGATATAGTTTGGACATTCAATTTTGCTATTCCATGTTATTTATATAAGCTTTCTGCCTGTTTGGTTTTAATAGAATTATTTCTGTATCATAAAAAAATATATTTTGCAGATTGAGTGCAGTCTCATGTATCATTATATATTTGGTGACATGTGTCAGATTTTTGTTTTTAGATGATAGGTATAAAGGTAATAAAAAACATGTTGAAAATTTTAATAGTGTTTGCACTTTAACTTAAATATTAATATACCGTAAATATATTTGCTAAATAAAATTACACTCTTTGTGAGGAGTTAGTGATATATGTATATATGTATATACAGTGGTGGCCAAAAGTATGGACACTTTTTGAAAGTTTCATGTTTTTCAACTTTGTGTGCTGTAGAATATATTAATTTTCACTTAAATACAAACGTTTACATATCAAATTGAAGGTACTTTAATGTAGAATTTAATAATAAATACAGTATTACAATATCTGTATTACAAAAAAAGTTAGGCAATTAATGGTAAGATCTATCTTAGATTTGCATTTTTTTAAAGTGATACTTACACAATCAATACTTAGTAGAATAACCCTTAATTTTTAAGACAGCTTCACAGCGCCTTTTCATCGAGTGA